TTTTTAAATGGCATCCTTATTCTGTGTTTATATCTTTTTCTTATTGTTACTGAGGTTGAGATCTTTGAGTATGCAACAGGTATCTCTATTCTGTCTCATCCATATTGTCTAGTCTTATAATACATTCATTTGTTTTATTTCCAATGTTCTCTTCACAACCCTCACAAGGAATCAACACTGATGTAGGTTCCATATTTATTGTTAGTATATCATAATTTTTCATAATTTTTTCTTTCTTTGTTCTTCCTATTTTTAATTGATTAGTATTTGTCTTTTTCTTGGCTATCCAGTTGTGTTTATTTAAATTGGAATTATTTTGTAACTGAAAGAATTGGTTATAATACTTGTCATATATTTGTGTAATTATTTCACTATAATTATCCATAATTATTTTCTCTATGTATTTTATGAGTTTATGCCAATTTGGAATTCTACCTTTTTTGTTTATGAAGTTGACTTGTATGTGTGGCCATTCTATTACTTTTTTAAGCTCAAGATCTAGAATTTGTTCTAAGCATAAAATTTTCTTTTCACTTAAGTTTTTCTATATGTTTCATATTTTTGTCTAATACTTTTAAGTACTATTTCTATTAATATTTTTTTCCACCAGATGGAATCTTAAGATTACATTCACCCCCTTTAGTTTGGTGTCATTTAATTTTGTTCCTCTTACATAAATTAATTATTGATGCTGTAAGGTTACTTCCTTCTTTGATTTTGATTATCTTTTCTGTTTCCAGAAATAATTCATCTGACCATAAGAAGTTTTTGAAATTGTTGCAATCTTATATTAGTTTTTATTCCCAATACATCTGTTCTGTTTAGGTGGTCATTGATGTTTTTACCATGCATTTGGATTTGTTGATCATTAATGTTAAATACTTTGTAACCTTCATTTAAGAAGAATAAACTATTTATAGCTGTTTTTGCAAAACCAGCTTTGTGTTTTATAACTTTTAGAAACATTGAATTAAGTCTGTTGCATAAATTTTCTGATAGAATTATATCATTTATAAATATTCAATTGCTGGATATATTACCTGGTTGGTTATATACATAACTTCTTTGTCTGTAGCCCTTTTCCATGTCAGATTTCTCTTCTATTAATTTTTTTGATATTGTTTTTTACCATTTGCTGATATCCAAATTTCCAATATTCTCACATGTTCATTTTTGTTTATTGCATTCCCATAAATTCAATAGAACTTTCTTCTTTGTTTTTAGATGTGTTATTTATACAAATAAGATGGAATTTCTCAGCATTGATTTGTGTACCTGTTATTTGTGAGAATTCTTCTACTGTTTTTAATATCTTTCCATTTGCTTTTTATCTTGAGATATGTATGTGGTATCATCCATATATGCAAATGCATTTATCTTATATTTGAATCTTTTTCTTCATGTGTTCTTGTATCACCATATTGTATTTTTTTCCATGTAATAACCTTCTGCCTGACTTTGAATTTGTGTTAATAGAGGATCATAATATATTCACCATAATAGAGGTGATAGTGCATCTCCTTGTTCTATTCCTAGGTTAGAATTAAATGCTTCTGTCAACCCATAATAGGTTATTACTTTATTAGTTCTATTTTTTAGTAGTTTATCTATTATTACTATAATTTCTTCTGTAATTTTTACTCTTTCATACTTTTTTTTAGCATTTCTATATTTACTGAATTAAAAACTTTTGATATGTCCTGTGATAAGATCCATATTTCTTTTTTAAATTCTTTAGCTTCCTCTATATAATTGTTCAATATATGTATAGAACCTTGTGTTGAACCCTCAGGCAAACCTGCCCAGTTATTTTCATTTAGAATTGTGTGTTTTGTTAATATTGTACTGAATCTATTATAAATTCCTTTTGTAAATATTTTTCTAGCTGTTTCTAGTAGGGCTATTGGTCTACTATTCCAAATATCCTTCTTCCAATCTTTGGGTTTAGCTATAGGGAATATATGCCCTCTGACCATTCTTTTGGTATTTCTTTGTTTTTTAAAATCTGATTATATATATCTGTGAGAAATTGTAGTGCATTGTTATCTATATGTTTCCATAGTTCATTGGTAATTGTAGATGGACCTTCTGCCTTTTTGTTTGGTAGTTTTCTGATAATTCTTCTACTGTGAATTTTTTTGTTAATGGTAGGTACCATTCCTCTTGTATTTTATTTTTTGATTATGAATTTGTTTCCACTCTTGATTTTGATCTAGGTTTTCTATATTTTTTGGATAAACCAATGACTAAATACATTTTTAACTTCTTGTTTTATTTCTTCTGGATCTGTTAATACTTCAACTTGTTTATTGGTTGTTCTAATTAAACTGCCTGTTGATATTCATGGTCTTTCTTTATTTAGGAGACTTTGAATGACTATTTTTTTGTTCTCTTTGAGTTTTTATTTCTTTTAATAATTTGTTCTTTAATTTTTTTATAATTTGCATCTTTTATTTCTGCATCAAATACTTTGTGTAGAGTATGGTGCATTCTTTTGACTCCTTTCAACCAATTTTTAGTCTCTCCTATTGTTTCTGTCCATGATAGATCTTCAATTTCTATATTATACTCTTCCCTAATGTTTTTTATCTTTTAACTATTTTTTCTTCTAATATGCTCTTTTATTTTCTGTTAGTATACCACTGTCTGCCCCACTCATGAATCTTTCTTATAGATATCAGTTTTCTATATGTGATGAAGTAATTATGTAGTGCTTTTAATTCTTCATACTTCCCAGATATAAGTTTTTTCTTTTTTGGAATTATTTCATTTGCTTTTCCAATTATAACATTTCTGAAAAAATTCCATTCTTCTCGAATATTGTCATTTCCAAAGGTAGTATTTTCTGCTATAATTAATTCAATCTGTGATTTGAATTTTTTCCATTTTTTTTTCAGATGTTCCCTTGAAGTTAAATTACATCTTATTTAGAATTTTATCTAAATTTGTTATGGATTTAGTATATTTAAGAATATTGTCTTCCATTTCTGCTATTGAACATGCATGGTCACTGTGACCTTCCAAATCTGAGGGTATAATATCTGCACAAAAGAGTTGATCTGCTAAGTTATCTGATACCCATATTTGATCTATTCTGCTTTTAACTTCTTGGATATAGTTTCTCCAAGAAAAATTTAGTGTTGTTTTGTTCTGCATAATTTCATTTTCTGTGATATCTTTATATGTTTTAAAAGTATCTTTAAACCTGTTATTATTCAAAAATCTCAATATTTGACTTTCAGGTTTATCTGATCTATTTCTTGCATTAATGTTAATTTTAAACCTATAAATTTTAGGATTAAATGTGGCATTAAAATCTCCCATCACTATTGCATAATGTCTGTCCTTAACTATATAATTGTTTAAATCTTGTATTATCCATTTTGTTACATGAGTTTTAGCTTCTTTTGGTTTGCACTTGTTGGATAATATACTACTATTATTTGTAATTTTATTTTTTTTGAATGACAATTTTATAGAGATTACATTGCCTTCATATTTATCTATCATATAAACATGTTTTGCCCATTTTTTTTTATCATGATTCTGACTCCTGAATTTGTTTGTTGTCCATTTGCCCAAAAATATTTATATTCATTGGCATTTTTGTCTTTCTTTTGTATTTCTTTTATTGTATCATTTTTGAATATATATTTACAATTTTCATCAATTGCCCAGGTTTCTGTTAGTCCAATTATATCTAAATCTTTATCTTTACAGAATTTCAACCAAACTATTTGTTTTGTAATGTTTGTTATTCCTCTTATATTTAAAGTTTTTAAATCATTCTGATTTATATTCTTATCTATTATGACACTATTATTATTTTGATCTATATTTAATACATAATTTTTACTATTTATTAGTTCATTATTTATGTTTTAGTTTTATTTATGTTTTTAATTTTATCTTCATTTTTAAAATTTTTTTGGGATTTTTTTTAATATTTTCTAAATTATTATTATTATTTAAGAAAGGATTGTTATTATTGTTTTTAATATTAATGTTATTAATTATATTAGCATTTGGTTCATTTTCTATTATATTATTATTATTAATGTTTATATTTTTATGATTGTTCATCATAATATAATATTTTTTTAAAATTATGTTTCTTAAATTAGGATTTTGTCCCCTACTTGTTCACTATTTTTTCCAATATGTTTTCCACTCCATTTAATTGTGCCAATGTTGTTTTATTTTCTCCTTACAGAGTTTTAACTATTTCATAGATATAATTTATTGTTTTCTCCATTTCTTTTTCCTCTTTTTTATTATTGGTTGTTTGTGCCTTTGATTTTTTTTTTTCATTCATTTCTTCATTTTCATTATCACTGATTTTTATTTCTCCTGCTTCTTCATCATTTAATATTTCATAAGTACAATGAGTTTCCACTAATTCCTATCTTTCATCTATATCTTTCACCTGTTCCTTGATCTTTTTTATATCTTTCTGGATTTCTAATAACATGTTCATAATATTTTCATTTGTTGTATCATTCTTTTCCGTTATATTATTTTTGGCTTTTCTATTTATTTATTTTTAACAGCATCTGAATAACTTGTGCCCATGTTAATTCCTTCCATTGGAGATTTATATAGTTGTGGCCTTTGTCTTTTATATAATTGCCTATATTTTTCAAAATCTCTTGCTTTTCTTTCACTAATTTCCCTTTGTTTTTTTTGTCACAGGACAACTGATCACAAGATGATCTTCCATGTGACATCTGTGACACATTTTTGAAACTGTATCCACTATTTTAACTCTATATTCTCCTGCAATCCATTCAAAATTTATAACTTGGTCTTTTTCTTCTTGCTCTCAAAAGATGCTATGGCCATTTGTTTCTTCTTCCCATATAAATTTCATGGAAAATATTATGTTTTGGCACCCTAAAGACTTATCATATTATATAATTATGTGCTGCAATATCAGGTGGCATATTGATGATCTTTACTGTATATTTATCTCTTTCCTTAAGTTCAGTAAAATTGCATGTGGGTGATGTTACTCTCCAATAATAGATTTTTAGCTTGTCTTCTTTCATAAATTTTACTATTGCAGATGACCAGAATCCTCTTGCACTCATACTGCATGAGGTTACATTTCCAAATTTATTTTTTATCACACTTTTAAATTCTTGTTCCTGCATGCCAATTGGTACATTCCAGAACTTAATTCCTTTTTCATTATTTTTTTTTATATTGGTTTATTGCTGCTCTTGTTAGAGTTGACCTATCATTTAATCATGTTCCTTCAATTTTGATTTTACATGCCTTTTCCATGTCTTCCTTTTTTTCCAGATATATTGCAATATATAAGTTTTTTATCTTCCAATTTTTTTTTCAGTTTTGATTGTGACAATATTAATTTCATTTTTATTTAATAAATTTGCTATCATATCAATTTTGTCTTTTAAATTTTTTCCATGAACTTCTCCTGTTTTAATCCATACTTTATACTTTTGTAAATTAATTTTTTTTCTCCATTCCTTATGTACACTTAAGAAACTATCTTCTGAGTTTACAATTCATTATAATCTGTTTCTGTATTTGTAATATTTTGCTCAGTTGTTTCATTATTTTCTTTTTCTGTTTCAGTAATAGTTTCTTTCCCTTTATCTTTTTCATCTTTTTTTGTATTATCAATTGTTTTCATATTATTATCAGTATTTTCTTTGCCTATACTATCTTGATTTAATAATAAATTGCCTTCCACTGGCAATAACTCCATGTTATTTGTATTTGTCTATGTAGTTTTCATTTTTTGTTCAAATTGCTTGTGCCTGCTGTTGTACTAGTTTTTGGTCCATAAGTATTTGCAATAATGTTTCTTGTGGCCAGACTGCTCATTGCCTTTGACCTTATGGTTCTTCTGGTTGTATCTAACTCATTAAGTCTAGTTCCATAAATTGCTGTTGACCATCTTGGACGGTCACTCCAATTTTCCATACTTGTTTCTGATTTATTTTGTTGTTTTTTTTATCTTTTTTATTTATTTTGCTGAGAACTTCCTTTCCTTGAATATTTTGATGCAATTGATCAGTGGAAAGAGTCTTCCCAAATATAATCATCTCTATCTAATATTTCATTAAATTCACTAAATTCTTCAATTTTTGGTCATTAAGAAAGATCGAATGCCAGCATCTTTCACTAAATTAGCCCAAAATTCTGGTGTATCTTCTGTATTTCCATCTAAAATATCTAATAAAAGTTTTGGTCCGGATTCTTGATCAGAAAATGGTCTATGTCCAGATGCCAATTACCACAATATCATTCCTAAACTATAAATATCTAATGCATATAAATATGCTTGATATTTAAAGAATTCGGGAGCATATGCGAAGTTATTCCATATAGTTGAAATATTTGGTTCAATAGTTGCTGGTTGACTAAATCCTAAATCGGGAATAATAACTTTTTACTATCAACATCATCATTTTTGGAAAGAATATTGCCACGATGTAAAATTTTCTTGTTATGAATTTCGTTAATTGCGTGAACTTCATGACATTGGATTGCATATTCGCCATCCAACTGATACGCATTTGTTAACTATATTAAAGAACAAATATAATGAATATAATAAAAAAATTCTGTATTTAATTCTGGGAATCATTTAGGACTTTTAAAACAACATCAGTTTTTCCGTTTGAAAATTTTTTGATTAGATTTATAAATTTCGTTTCTCAAGTTGCTTTATAAGATCTAATAATCTAATATGTTATAAATTTTTAATTAAATTAATTATTATTATATTTTAATTAAAAGATTTAGCAATTTGGATGCATCATATGTCGTAATTTTATGCGCAATGTGCAATCTTTAACCTATGTCCCGATACAGTATCAACTTATCGCTATTTCAAGTACTTAATAGTTGGCAGTCAAGCTTCCTTAACTGAATTAAAGATCTGACTGTGTTAATTCATAACTAGTTGATTATTGGGGGTCGCAATCAATTTTTTTTTGCTAAATTTAAGAGAAATTAAATAAAATGAAAGTTAAAAGAAATATTTATTGGTCGAGATTTGTTTTAAGAATATTAATTTTAAGGATCACTTTGCAAAAAGTCACATTAAAAGTTGTAGGTACATCCATAAAATATATTTTTTAAATCATATTAATTTGAGTATATTCTTATCAATAGTTCTAAACATTGAGAGATATATTTTCTATTGACGTGAAACTGATTCGAAGGTTAAATGAATACGGTATTAAGTCAATTCTTGTCGAATCTGATGAAGAATCTTCTTTACTGGAAGATTAAAAATCTCTTCAGCATGAAATATAATAAGATTTATGAATATGCATCAACTTATCCCGATAATTTTATCATTGTTAGAATTCTGGTCTATCGAATCAAAGTTTTTTATATTTAACTTCGATTTTAAATACTCTATGTAGATAAAAATCATTTAATTAACTTAATACTAAACGTAAAAGAAAATTAGAAAAAATCAGAATTTTAAGAATTTTTGATAGTATCATTGATGAAAATGATAAGAATAATAATGTCATTGATAATTTTCTTAACAAATTCTATAAAGGAAGAGGAGGAGGAGAAAGATTATCAATAGATCTTATATCCATGAAATTAGTTTTTAAAATTAAATTAAATCCTCACGATGGTGAAAAAAAAAAACGAGGAGAGAGAGATGAGGGCGGCGGAGGAGGGTGAATCTTATTCAGCACGTATTAAATGTGTCTCAAAGATTCATTCACAAGATTAAAGAGAGATCTTGAATTATCTAGAAGAGAGAATTTTATTGTCACCGCCAAACTCGTTCGAGTGCTTATTTTTATTGCTTCAAAAATCAGTAATTTTGGCACGTAATAATTAGGCATTGGTGCAAATTCAGAGTTGCAATTATTTATATTTCTATATTCTATATCATATATTTATACTATTAACATCATGAAATTTTAAGAGTAAAATTTTCAAAGTGAAATTTTCCGGAAGATCTACGCGTAAATTTTTTGCGCCTATTAAAATTTTCTGCCTAATCGAGATTACATTTACTATCATTAAGAATGTATGATCAAATTACTTATTATACACTTGCGTATGGAAAGGTATGTGGAGTTGGGTGATAATAGGATTTTATTTTAAATATTTAAATATATTAATTTTTATTTTTAATTATTTTTAATTATTTTAATTATTTTACAACCAGCGGCATCAATATCGGAAATTTTATTACTTCTGTGCGTTTAATTCCAATCTTAAAATTCTATAAATACTCGTAGCTCCGTAATTAATTTCTACATTAATTTACATATTTTCGCGAAGCAAATATTTTAAGTGAATAGTGGATTCATTTTGAATGTCATAATGAACAATTGTATTTCTTTCATTAAGAATTTGTCCAAAAAATAAAATAGTTGAACATTTTCGGGGAATTCCTTAAAGTTCTTCAATAATTATTTTATCTCTGAAATTTTGTCAAAGGGTTCAATTGAAGGCTGTCCCGTCAAGGTATTTTCATAAATTTTTCCTTAGAAATAGTAAAGCGAACAGATATGTAAATTTTGGATGGAAAGATATTCATATTTAATTTAATTAATTTTTTTATAATAGATAACATGATCATTTTCACTTTGTTTCGTGTGATAATTATAGAATTAAAGATAAGTTAATGCATGATAAGTTTGTTTTTACAATAAATCTATTTACAGATATATATAATAAATTTTAATGATTTTGAAATAAAACTCGTTATATTCTTTTTCTTCTTCGCCATCGTCGACCAGCATTAATATTGACAATACCACCACCATTATTAACATTCATATTACTAGTATAGCAGCAGAGGGAAATAAATCAACCCTTTTCCGCTTCAATCATAGACAAACACCTTTAATAGATGGTGCTGTTCCAGACATATTCGGAATATTATCAATTGAAATTGTATATTTTAATAATGGCTCCCACTACAATATTTTGAGTTTGACCGGTTAATAATTAATCCTTTGGCTATCATATTGGAACAATAAATAACATACAATAAATAACATGTAATTATCTTTTGGTACACTGTTATCTTTGCTTCATCAATATCCATTAAGCCTTGATTTCTCTTAGTATCAATTGCAATAATCATCTTCCTTCATCTTTGTAATGACAAGTGAAATCTTGTTTTCCTTTATGATACCCGTAACTTCAAGTGAAATAGCAAATCGATTACAGAATCTGGCCATCAAATCTTCGGATGCCAAGATTTCAATCGCTCGACTTTTGGATACTTGGGTCAAAACTATAATTTCTTTTAACAATCTTCACAAATTAATTATTCGAAATTTGATATAAATACATGCAGCATAAATCATCACTTTATTCTTTCCCCTTAAGATTTTTCTTCATTGGATCTTCGATATAGTTGTTTTATCTTCTCAATGATTTCCGTGGATAAATCATCGAATGACAAATTGATCCCAATCTCCTGAAGCACTTATTAATCGTGGCTTTAAAATATATTCGACTTAATAGCCGATGGTGTGATCATGAAAATTCATTATTTATACTTCCTTGCCATGAAATTAATGTATCTAAGGCTGATGGATCTAATGGATACGTTGCTGCCCCGATACGTGAAGGACCTTTATTTCAATTACTAAATGTACGTCATTCAGATCATTCGGATCTTGGTATAAAATGATTAAATCAAGTGCTAATCCACATTTTCCACAAGCAGTATCTCAATTTGAAAATTCTTCAAGTTTGAAATTGTGATTTTTACAACCCGCCCAAATTAACCTGATATTAAGATCAGATCAAAATATTGGAGTTGAAAGTGCTTCATTATTTAAATTATTCTAAGATGATGATGATAATGATGGTGTCTGTTGTTGCTGTTTTTGTTGTTTTGGACGTTTGATAAAAGGAATATTGGGTCGTCAATTGATATATTTGTAAAAAAAAAATACCAGTAAAATGTTTTTAGATGTGAATTAAAGAAGTTATATTTTCTTTAGGTTGTATTAATATGATAATTATTCCCTTATATGATTTGAACTGAGAATATTAGGTCATTTTGACTTCAATAATTACTTTATTTCATTAGCTCATGCTCGTGTATATTATTATTTACAGAAAGCATTAAAATGTTAAATTTTAATTTCCACCTAAAACGAAAAATTTGTTCCAATTTTATTTCTACTTTTTTACTTATTATTGGTACAAACCATGTAACTCAAAGCATTTCAAAAAAAATTTAAATAAATGGGCAAGTAAAAAAAAATAGGTAAGCTTATTCATAATTTTTCTAGCTAAAGAATGGGTGCTTTTTTATAGATTTAAAAATTGATTTTGTATGTTAGGTGGATGGATGGATGTATTAAGAAAATGGGATATTAAAAAAAAAACATTGGAAAAGATATGGTAAACATGAAGTGGCATTAAAAAATTTTGATAATATTGCAAATCTCTAAGAAGGTTCTTAGATAAGGTATTATGATCTAAACATATACAGTAAATTAATTATGATTTTTAAAAAACACATTCACATTATTTCACATATTTCCTGAAACTAATTAATATATGATGGTTTTACAATATATGCCTGATGGAAATTTTAGAGATTATTAAAAAATCATTTCGTTAATATTATAAATTAGTCCATTTATCTGATTTAACATTTAATTTAGATATAGTTAATTAATATGCTTTATTTATATTAAATAAAATAATTGTGAGTTAACTGTTAATTGGTTTGTCACTATAGTATGTAGAGTGAAAATATAGAAATAATAAGTAATATAAGAATAATAATAAATATAACTATCTTAAATAAATATCAAACCAAATGAATATTAATTATTTTATTTAAAAAAGTTAGAAAATAATTTTCAAGATGTTTAAGTTAAACATTTGTAACTTGTAACATAAATTCTACCATGGGAAGTGGCAGTCAAAGATTTCTATGAGAAGGAAAGACCTATTACTGAAAGAATTAAGAGTTTAAATCAGAAGGAGATCCAGGTACTTTAAAATCAGGTCCCCTATTTCTATAATAATGATAATAACGGATTCCAAAGAATAATAGAAGTCCCAAAAAAATAGTAACACCAAAAGTTATTCCTACAATTGCTTAAAGCTCCTAACCATTCGGTTTGAACCAAAACCGAATGGCCAGTTCTGGTTCTGGTTCGGTTTGGTTCATTAAAATCCAAACTGAAAGATTTCCGTTCAGTTCAGTCTGGTTTCGGTTCTTCATTTGAACCAAATGGAAAAACTGAAACCAAACCGAAATATTTTTAGTTCATGGTTTTTTTTTTTGGTGCTGATTTTATTTTGCCATTATTATAAAAAAATGAAATGAAAATCAATTAGTTAATGTAATACAAAAAAAAAGATAATCAGATTTTAAATCTATCTTACTTTCTATTGCCATTGCTGTCATTTTTCATCACCTAAAATAAAAATACATTAGTTAATATTAATAAGTTCAAAACTTGATAATGAATAAATATATTTTTGATTTAATTTAATTTAATTAATTTAA